GCCTCTCTCTCCAGCTGCTTTGTGCGCATGTGGCGCATAATGACGCTCGACCATCTATGCCCATATTTGGACTTCGTGCGTCTCCCTTTCTCGGGCCTCGTGCCTCTCATTGCGAAGATACGCGACTAGCCACGGCTGGGCATGGCCGCTCTCAGGCTTCTCTCTGAAGTTAGTTACAGTGTTACCAACTTTATAATCAGAAAAATAGCAAAAATTAATTCGGAACACACTTCAAACCAAACCAAACCAAACCAATTGCAAACAATTAAAAAAAAGTAAGTCAAACAAAAAGGTTGCAAAAAGTTTAAAAAACAGGTTAAGATTAGAGCACATTCTACACAGAAGAAAAAAAGAAGAACATAGAATTATTTAAATAAAATCGAGTAATAATATCTAAGAAGCATGGCAAAGCATCATCCAGATTTAATTTTCTGCCGGAAACAACCAGGAGTTGGTAAGTAGAGGTTAAGTTGAGCGTATTTGTTAGTTATAATTTATCATAGTATAACTATTATTTTTCAGCTATCGGTCGGCTTTGCGAGAAATGTGATGGTAAATGTGTTATTTGTGATTCTTATGTGAGACCTTGTACATTAGTAAGAATATGTGATGAATGCAACTACGGTTCTTATCAGGGACGTTGTGTGATATGTGGTGGTCCCGGCGTATCAGACGCATATTACTGTAAAGAATGTACAATTCAAGAAAAAGATGTGAGTGATATCCATTATGTAGCATAGCTGAGATTCTGCTACAAAATCATTAATGTTTTTTTCTCTTCAGAGAGATGGTTGCCCCAAAATAGTTAATCTAGGAAGTTCAAAGACAGATCTCTTCTATGAAAGGAAAAAATATGGCTTCAAGAGAAGATAAGAATGTATGTGTGTGTGATACATTGTTGTATATAATTTCTTCTTAAAAACAAGGTTTCTTAGAAGTTTTGATAAATATGTTTAGCCATTAGTGGATCATACAATTTCTCACATATTTTATAATACCATCTGACCGTTCTGTATATAAACTTTAATAAAGTTAAATAGTATGCAAATCTATATTTAATTTCAGCAAAGTGTTGCAGAATATTCTTATATTTACATTAATCAACTACACTATAACACATTTTTACATCTTGTTCATTAAGTATAATTATTGAAAACATTATTTATCAAACTATGAGTAGATTGTAAAATATTTTTTAAAAATTTGTGATACATGGTAACTCAAAATTTAAAAAATAACGATATAAAACTACCATTTGAAAATAAAACTTCTCCATTACATGTAAACTAGTATATATGAATTATACAATTATGTAGAAAAATACGTCACAATCTTTTATATAAAAAATATTAAAATCACGTTAAAAATAAAGATGGTTCTGCTGATAACGGTAACTCATTTGTTTCTTGTGTCTCAATCAACTGTCCTTTTATGATATTCCCTTTCTCATCTATCTCATCTATAGATATTAGAATGTTAGATACAATAGGCATGGCTATATTGACTTCATTCTCAGTAGTAATTTTCTCTTTTGTATCTATTATAGTGCGTATGTTTGTCTCTTCCTCCGCGTTATCCTCTACAATCTAAATTTAAAAAATTAATATAAATTTTAAAAACGTGATTTTAGTTAAATTTTTAGTTTTTTTTTGTTACAAAGCTTACTTTCAGTTCCACTGATGTAGTTTTTTGATATATTTCCATCTTATATTTTGTGTCTGGTAATTTTGCTTCTTCAACAGGCGATACGTTTTCTTCGTCTACAGCTTCGTATCTGACCATCTGAAGTCTATAACATCCATCTTGGTCTCGTATGTAATGGAAGCGTTTATGTCCACTAGGTAATTGCAATTGATGTGTCTCTATAAGGTGTTTTGTCAGTCTGTAACTTTTCTGGTATTTGATTGGGCACTCGTGACAACAATACCATCGTGTTTCTAAACCATGTGCTCGTTCTATATGTCTGTAATAAAATATACGTAATTGAAATAAATATGCATAATAAACTTCAATAATTGAAGATTTTTAGTTTTACCTATCCAAAGTGTAAGCTCCCTTGCATGTATACCGACATCCTTCGATAGAACAGGAAAAATTCGGGCCGTTAGTGTGAACAGTCATGTGTGAATCAAGATCCTGTTGCGATTTTGCAGCATGTGAACACAACTGACAAGGATACGTTCTAGTCGACACATGACGATATCTAACATGTTTTGCTAAACTCGCCGGTGATTCACAACTCATGTCACAAAGAGAACACTTATAGTTGAATACATGGAATCTCATATGATCTCGCAAGATCCTTTCAGTTGGGTAAAATTTGTTGCAGTGTGAACATTGAAATCCCTGTACTGTGTAATATATGTGATTGAGAAAAACTATGTAAACAAATACATACACATTTGTCTATTACCTTCTAAAGGAATTTGTCTCTGGCAATGTATATGGAATTTAGTATTAGATGCAAATGTGGCACCACAATCTGGACAAGCAACTATTTTTTCTTTAGTGTGATGTCTCAAGTGTTCACGGAGTTTGTATAAACTGTTGTATTTGCCAGTACATCCGGTCCACTTACAGTCAACTCTGTTCTTCACTCCATTTCCATGTGGACAATTTATCACATGCGCGGTAACGTGATACAGATACATTTGATAATTTGTGAACATTTTTAGACATTCTTCCCATCTACACAAATGCAATGGTGGTGAATCTATGATATTTCTCCATTCTGGATCTCTGCGGCATCTCTGTAAAAAAATTATACTATTAGTTTTTATTTATAATACAATATTACATGATCGATACAAATTCTTACAGGCAGTTTGGTTCTTCCTCGAACATTGGATCCAATACATTTTAACTTGGTGTGATAAGCATGGTAATTAACGTGTCGCATTATTTCATCAGATAAATCACTGTTAAATGGACAATCTTTCCACTGACACACATAAACATCATTATCATCCTTCTTACTTATTTGTATGTGTGGTAAATGACTCGAAACATGTTTTAGAAATCTGTCTAAATGATCACTACGAAATGTACATTCTTTCCACTCGCATGCCAGATTCAAAATTTCATTTTTCAGTAGCGTTCCCACCTTACGTTTCCTACCACCGCATTCTGAGACTGAATCGAACTCTGAATCGGTATTATACCAATTCTCACAGCTATTTTCAACCAGTTCCTCTAACTTATCTTCTTCAGAATAAGAATAATCTTTCTGTGACTCTACCCACTTGCTGCATCTTTCTTGTATCATTTTGCTTGTCATTAACTTCTTTTCCAAGTTAGCCATTGCGTATAAGCAAAAAATGAATGAAACATTTATCACACTACTTCACACAATTCACCTAAAATATAGTTTAAACATCTATTGAAACTGGAATATGAACGACCATTCATAAATTTAAATACGCCGCCATATAAGAGCAAAGCAGAATGGCGAATGCATCAATTAACGAAAATAATATATATTTTACATAAATGTGAACATAAAAGTATTTATCTCAAAATAGATTTAGCGTCGTTTTGTGTTACTTTTAAATCATCGCGTAACAATAGTATAACGTTTGTTTTTTCGAAAATTTTCTGATTGCACATGCAGTTTCGTACGCCTTTATCTACGTACATACATACGTACCACTGTTGCGCTTCATCATCGTCTGTTTCGTTATTATATCGTCAACAACATTCGCGTCATTATTTGTCCCGATAAATAATGTGACAGTGTTTATAACTTGTGTATATATCTAAATATACGATGTTATTTCGCGAGTGTTTTCGAAAAGTGTTCTCCTGGACAACGCAAACTAACACGTCGTTCGGAACACGTTATGTTGGCATCAGACTTTGCACGATCAACTGCTTTGCGTACGATCGAAGAGACACGACTATTTGTGCCCTGTCTTCTGGTTGTTATTTCACTTCTTTATCTTCCCCTCATTGACGATTAAAATTCAATGGCAACTCAACTTTTCTGTTTTTCTTTCTCGACAGGACAAGGTTAAGGTTAGGTTAGGATACGTTAAAGGGATTCTAAAATAATGTTTTATCGATAAAATTGAGTCTTTTTTTGCACACAAATCTTTTTTTAGCTAGTATGCATTGATAAATTCTTTGCTATAATTAAAGTACGTTATTGTACATATTAAGTCTGTTCTACATTGATCGCAAGCGCAAACGCAAGGAACAGATCTCGTAGAATTGACCAATCACGCTGGTCAATTGGCTGATTTGATCAATACGATTAGTCAATTCTACCAGACCTGTTCCTTGCGTTTGCGCTTGCGATCAATGTAGAACAGACTATAAGAAATCCGGGAAGTCCAAATTTATGGCTGTGTTCCAAAATTCACTGCCAGTACTAAAAATGTATATAATATACGTGACATAAACTATAAGGTTTTTAGTACTGGCAGTAAATTTTGAAAAAGTCTATATAACAAAATGAAAAAAATTGAATTTTGTGGAATTTTTTTTCATTTTGTTATATAAATTTGGACTTTTCGGATTCGTTATTGTATGTACACAGCGCGTCATTGAGGCTGCGTTCGGAGAGCGCGCTATCAGCGCTGTTGCATCATTCTATTGCTTTATTGCTCATTAGATGTAAAACAAAGATAGAATGACGCAATAGCGCTGATAGCGCGCTCCCCGAACGCAGCCTGAATCGCGGAATAAGCGCGGGATCGGAGGACAAGCGGGCCGTACGATCAGGGTTACGTTCCAAAATCCTACCTTGATAACCAAAAACTATAGTACACGTGACGTAAAATATAGCATTTTAGTAACCAAGGTAGGATTTTGGAACGTAACCCAGAGATGCCAGTTCGTGGACTTAGTAAGCATTCAGCATCAAGTGGAGGGGATACGCACACAGGCGACAGCCGTGTCCGTGTGGTTGGCCAACCATTGGCCGAAGCGCCGAGCGCACACGGACACGGTTGTCGCCTGTGTGCGTATCCTCTCCACTTGATGCTGAATGCTTACTAAGTCCACGAACTGGCATCTCTGCGTACGATTCGTTGGCGAGCAACCGCCCCGCTTGCCCTCCGATCCCCGCGCCTATTCCGCAATTCAGTGACGCGCTGTGTACTTTAATCGTAGATAAGGATTTATCGATTCATACAGTCAAAAAAAAGATTAGTGTACGCAAAAACTTCAGTTTTATCGATAAAACAGATTCATTTTAGGATCCCCTTAATTGTAGAAAAGAATTTATCAATCCATATACAGTCCAAAAAAAAAGATTTGTGTGCTAAAAAAGATTTAGTTCTGTCGAAAAAACTGACAATAGAGATCTATAAACCGACGTTCCAAAAATTCGAATTTCTCTGTATTTATTGCACATGAAAAGTGTTTCTGCAGAAGTTTATACAATAAATATAAAAAACTATAGTGCTTTTGAAAATAAATATATACAGTAATTCCATGCTAACGTGCCGAATTTTTTCTCCGGTATCGTGCCAGGATCTCCACCAATTCCTAGAAGTGCTTAGCCGAAGCTTCGCGCGAATTAGTAGGGATGACTGCGGCGATCGAGACCGTGGTCGAGCCAACTAGAGCAGTGTTCACAGTTTTAGCTTCCTTACAGCATGCTGAAGCGGTAGAAGAGATGCGCACAACAGCAGTGAGTTTATGCAGGTAGAATTCGCTGCTGTTGTGCGCATCCCTTCCACCGCTTCAGCATGCTGTAAGGAAGCCAAAACTGTGAACACTGAACTAGAGATAACAGCCGGCAATTCTCGGAATAATAAATTATATACCTTTCTCGACATCTTTTCTCGCGGAAAAGGGGAAAAGAGGAGCGGAAAGTTAACAAATTATTCGAGGTAATACTCTTAAGAGCCGTCTACAATGGAGAGTTGTAGGCCGTAATAGTAAGAAATTGACCAATCACAGACAAAGTACAGAAGAATAATCGATTGTGATTTGTCAATTTCTTACTGTTACGGCCTACAACTCTCCATTGTAGACGACTCTTTAGGTAAATATGCTGATTAGGGAAGCAACTTCTAACTCTGAGTTTGTCAAATGTTATCAAGGTCATGACCCTGAGTACCTTTCAAAAGGTTTTAAATAATGCTTACTGTGTTAAAAAGTTATTAACAAAAAATGTAATTGCTTAAATATAAGCGTTTTCTCAATTTTGGTTATTTTAATCCGTTTTTTTACAACCCCTTTATTTCATTACTAAAATGAAAAATTAATCAGGGAAGCTTGAAAAAAACTGTTTATTAAAAAGTTGCACCCAAAAGAAGTTTTCATAAATAAATCTTCAGTTTTGGATATCGCGTACATTTCTTAAGTAAATAATTTGTATAACTTTTTGAACTTGACATATTATATTAACATACATCTTTGTTTTTATGTCGTCATTGCCTATGTCTTATATGTATATGTTTAGTATAGAATAAATAAAAAAAACCATAAAAAGTACGATAAGCTTGGAAAGTACATGCTTAGGTGGCAGAACGCACAAAGGGACGGGCTACGATTGTCCCTAAGTGCACTCTCACATATAATAAAAAAATAACAAAACTTGGGAGTGGAGAAAGTATCAATGGCCGAAAGTACTGCTTGGAAAATATCTGCGTGGAGTATATTCCATTCCTCTACAAAAAGACACTACTATGGAAACACTAGACACATAAGTGTATAAGTTTCATATATATACACTTTCCAAGCAGTACTTTCGGCTATTGATACTTTCCTCATCCCCAAGTTTTGTTTTTTTTTGTGTTTTTTTATATCGGAGAGTGCATCCTCAGGGACTAAGCATGTATAATATTTTCCAAGCTTATCGTAATTTTTATAATTATTCTTTTATTTATTCTATATTAAACATTTATATATAAGACATATTACGTCTAAAATGTCGTATATTATACATACGAGGCATATGTATAAAAAGCAGAACTTTCGTTTTTCTCTATACACAGTTTTTATTACTAACTTTTCAACGAACGGTGAGCATTACTTTAAACCTTTTGAAGGTCACTCAGGGTCATAACTTTGATAACATATGACAAACTTAAGGTTGTCGGAAACTGTTCCTCTAATCGGCATATTTACCGAGATCATCTCTTGTGATAGATCTATTCTTCAAAACTGCCACAGTTTCAAAAGTATGATTTAATCATAAGTAACAATCTCTGAATCGCTGTGCATTGTTGAGTTTCTGAACGTAACTTATAGCATATGACTTATAGCATATGACTTATAGCATATATTTGTGAACGTGACTTATAGCATATATTTTATGATAGCATATCCTGTATTGTCATCACGAATATCGATTTTTTTTGTCAACTAGACATTCCAACCATAATCTGAGTGTCTCATTACATTTTTTTGTCGTACTTTTATAGCTTATAAAAATCTAACTACGTACATATAAGCTTACAAATATCCCAGATAACCAAGACTGAGTGATCATATTTTGAAAAGTTTGCAATAACACATTATGCCAGTACAATATAGCTAGCATTCAAACATAATCTGTTATTTCAACTAGTGTCGCCAGAAAAACAGAAAAAAAAAGAATATAAATATGTCATGCCGTGATGCAAATATTATTGCATCAATCAAGCAGAACTTGCTCAAAAAATGTAGCAG